CATTCTGTTTGGTCTAGTATTTTAACGTCAACACAAGGCCTAGACTTCAAAGATTATTGCAAGAAGGAATATAAAAAATAACAAAATTGAAATGAAATTACCAAATTAGCAATTCATTTGTTATTGGATATAAAAATTTAAATCTTTTTTCATGTGAGGATAAAAACCATGTACATTTGTGTGTATAAATAAATATGTTTGTCAAATTGCAAAACTCTGATATATATATATACAGAGATGCTTTCATGGTAGTGAAGGTAAAAACAATATAATTAATCACTGTAAAAATCTGGTTAAACACGTTTTTAAAATCTCTTAAATCTTGCGTGTTTTAATTCAACAAATATTCGTTTAAATTAATAAATTATTTATAAAATTTGCGCGTGTCTATATATTATTATGTGTATGTCCGTACGTATCTACGTCTAGGTGTAGAGATTCTGGCCTTCTGGGTAATAGCAGCTTTTTTTCTTCTTTGTATATTTGACGAGGAAAATCGAGAATCGAAGAAGCGAACTGAGGCCATTGCAGATTCTCGTTCTATCTCTAGAAAGAGAGAAAATAGGAATCGAATCTGGAAATTTTAGAGGAACTTAGGGTTTGTAAGAGTTCGATTTAGCGAGAATCGAGGAATGGTAAGTTTAGGGTTTTTGTTTATCTCGATTGGCTTATGGTGATGGTGATTAAGATGATTTCGGATATGCAAATGTGGAGGAAGATGATTTTGTGAGACCTGAATAATCTGATTTTTTTAGGGATTTCTAAGAGACAGTTTGGTTTGATTATCTTTAGGTTCCTTGTTTTATGGAGTTTTCATGGACGTAAATGTTGTTTAATCAAGCATGAATCGATTTGTGATGATTATCGTTAGGCTCCTTTGTTCATAGTTGTACTACTAGCGGAGTAGAAATCGATTTGCGAGTCGTGCTCACTGTATATGGTAAGATTATGACTCTGGAGTTATCTTGGGAGTGTGTGTGTGTGTGGCTTGTTCTTGCGTAAACAGAGGATAATTTGTATCGGTTTTTTTATGGATTGCGTTAAGAATTTTCCTTTGAATGTCGTATTCGTAGATAATAGCATGAATATCTTGTTGTAGTCTAGGAAATTGCTCACATGGAGGACTCGATTCTATCTTTAAACATCACATGACAAAATGCTTTGCTGATACAATAGAGAAATGGAAGTCTTCCTTATTGTCCAATGCTACTGTTTTTTAAACTCTGAGCAAAAACTAATTATATTTTTGTAATTTTTTCCTCTGATACTGATTGAGTTCACTGGTATTGTGAAGAAAAACAAAATTCCTTAGTTTGATCTGTCAAGTCTGCTTCTTTTTATTGCTAACATATTCTCTCTATGTTATGCCTGAAGGCTGATAGAAGAGTTGATAATCGCTCCATGGGTCGGAGAGGTCGCCCTAAAAGGGAAACTGGAACTTGTAATGTCTGCTCTGCTCCTTGTTCATCTTGCATGCATCGTAATGCGAGCTTCACTGGTTCAAAGTCAGATGAGTTATCAGATGAAAACTCCCATGGTGTAGTGGCGAGCCAGTGTTCTTACAACGAGGACGATCATATGTGCTCTTCTGGGGTTAATGCGCTCGGCAGCTCACGTAACACTGCTAGTGAAGCGAGCAATCTGGTTAATTCCAATCATGATACTTCCTCTGAGAATGCTGAGAGTAAGGAAATGAAGGTAGACTCATGGAAGGTTCTTTCAAAGGAAGTGAAGTCGCAATCTTCACATAGTTTGTTATCTGACCATCAAGCGAGAAACACACCAGGGCAGGGAAAAGTCAAGGAAAAGTCAGGAGCAGAGCATAACAAAGACAAGAAAAATATGTTAATTGAAAGTTCTACGCATTCAGACCAAAGTAGGATGGATGGGACATTGGGAGAAAATAGTCTCTTAAATAAGGCAGAAGAACCAAACTCATCGGCTATGTCCGAGAGTGAGAGTGGTGATTCTGAAATGCTTGAACTTGATGTGAGTAACGCTGTTTTGTCTCATATTACGAAGGACTAGAGAACTCATCTATTTTGTTTTGGCTGGAATTCTACTTCTGTTTCTTTTTGTTGCAATATTTGCTTTCATCTCCCATTGACATAAATCTCAAGTGAAAATGTTGTCTTTGTTGTTGAGCAGGTAAAAGTATGTGATATTTGTGGAGATGCGGGTCGTGAGGATTTACTTGCCATCTGCAGCAGATGCAGTGATGGTGCAGAACACACGTAAGCCTGCTTCTGTTCATCAGAAAGAAATTATCAATTAAATTTTGGCGTCTGAGATACCCCGTCTTTTTGAACTAATATGGCCAATTGCCGATCAGGATTTATCTTTGACGTTAATATTAGTGAAGTTTTAGTTAATTGGATTATCCTACTAGTAATAACGCAGCACCATTTTCTGTGCTAATGATATATTTGTGTTTTCTTTTGCTCAGCTATTGCATGCGGTTAATGCTTAAGAAAGTTCCTGAAGGTGATTGGCTTTGTGAAGAATGCAAGTTTGCTGAGGAAGCAGAAAAGCAGAAGCTAGGTAAAGAGGAAAAAATTACCATACATGAAATTAGTGCAAAACATTAACGGAACTTGGCTGTTAACTTGGTTTTTCCTTTTTGTCTAACGAACTTGAGCTGAAACATGCAGAAACTAAGGGAAAAAGAGAAACTGAGGTAAATTTGAATACACAGAGCTCCAGCAAAAGGCACATAGATAAACTTGAGGCAGCTCCAGATGCTAAAAGACAGGCAGTTGAGGCTCCAACAGGGTCACCCAAGAGATCTGCTCTCCCAAGATTGTCTACTTTATCTCGGGAAACATCATTTAAGGGCTTAGAGAAGCCAACAAGAAAGCTAGCTCATCACTCATCTTTCAATAGCCACTCCAGTGATGACACAGAAAGCACACGATCTACTGACTCACAGCTCCGATCCCCGAAACGTATGATATATGATAAATATTCTCTCAAATGCAGTTTTTCCTTGGAGTTTATCATACTTCTGGTGATGTT